CTCTTTTTAGGGTGATCGACTTCGTACGCGTGGTGTCTGATAATTGAATGAGGTGGTTATGTTATTACAAACCCATTCGACGTAGGGCATGTTGCTGCCGACAGAGATGTCAAGAGAGATACCACTCAGGAACAAGAAATCACTGTAAATAAGGTTTCGCTTCAGGCCATTATTAACATTGCTATCAGTGAAGTACTGAACTTGTGTGCGATAATGAGGATAGTGAGTGGTAATCACGAGACAGGCTTGATTGGATCATTACTTGAGACAGGCTTGCTTGAATCATTACTAGAGACAGGCTTGCTTGGATCATTACGTGAGATAAGCTTTTAGGTATATTTCCCAGCGAAACATTGCTTACAGTGCACACTTGTCCTGGTGCTGTGTTTCTCGACATTACAAACTCCAATACGCAATGTTATGACTCCGTGTTCGCGTACTGCGACTTAGAGATGGCGATTTCTTTATTTTATACGTATGATAAATTACACCATTCTGTTTTTTTAATGGAATCACCACGTTCTTAATTACTGTCTGAAGTATTTACTTTTTTAAGGTTGTATATTGAGTTCATTTTTAATCTGTTTTAAGCAATTGACATTATGACCCAAGATTAAGATTACTTTTAAAGGAATATATTGAAATGTCACCATCAATAATACATATCACATTATTCATAATATGTACATGTATATGTATATATTTATATATATATATATATATATATATATATATATATATATATATATATATATATATATATATATATATATATATATATAAGTGTATGTGTGTGTGTATGTGTGTGTGTATGTGTGTGTATGTGTGTGTGTATGTGTGTGTGTATGTGTGTGTGTATGTGTGTGTATGTGTGTGTGTATGTGTGTGTGTATGTGTGTGTTTGTGTGTGTATGTGTGTGTGTGTGTGTGTGTGTGTGTGTGTGTGTGTGTGTGTGTGTGTGTGTGTGTGTGTGTGTGTGTGTGTGTGTGTGTGTGTGTGTGTGTATGTGTGTGTGTATATATGTGTGTGTGTTTGTATGTAGTGTAGGAAGTACCGAAACTAATCAAGTAACGTCATTCAGGTCAGACCACAGCTGTAACGAATGGGGCACGAGTGCATAAAATGATCCACAGCTGATACAATGCTTAGACACTGGTTTGTTAAGGACTCCAGTGACCTGACATTAGATCATCACAGTATGTAGCCTTGAAGCTCACACAATCCCGTGTCCAAGAACAAGTTCAGATTTGGAAGATTTTGTCCACTTGTGACTTAGTGTGTACAGGAGTGGTCTCTTGTGAATGAGGTTCCTGGACTGGTTGCCAGTTCAACTTGCACAATTTATTACTTTTACTATATTGTAAATTTTGATTTTGTGAACATTTAGGTTTCAAAAGTGCCTCCTCTTTCCTAATAAGAAGTAACATTTCCTCTATTATATTTTATTAATATTAAAAGCAGCAAATTTTAGTTCAATGTTCTGTCTGCTAAGCAAAATTTTTAAAACCATCAACAATTATCCACAAATCAACTTTTCAGAAAGAGGGAGTTTGCTCCGCATAATGGCTGAGAAATGTAAAAATAAAAAGCATTGCGTTCTACTCTATAACTAGCAGATGCATCTACCAGAGGCTGCAGTGCGAGTATTACATCAGGAGGGACATACACCTCACAGGTTCCTGAGAGTAAGATCTATACAAGTAGTGGAAGATGAGAGGAAGATATGAAGCACTGTTGTTAGAAGAATAATGACTAAGTTTAATAAGTTAAGCCACTCGCTCATATGGGACAAATAACTTTTCCTAAGATTGGCAGCGGTCGCTCTGTCCTGGCAAACCATGGGCTGACCTCTTCCTTCCTTAATGGACAACACCGTTCTGCCGCACCTCAGCCAAACTTACAGCACCACTGAACATGTCATTTTATCACAAATAACCGTGTCAAGCAATTTTTAACTTGGCAAATGAACTTGCACTGTTGTCCTATCTTGAGGGCAAAGGGATTTTTATATGGTTGAAGCAAATAAGAGGTGCAATATCTGTTAAATTTTGTAAGAACTTCCAATATTTGTCTGTGGAACTTTAAACAAATGGAGAAACATGAGGTTGCCAGAACAACCCAGAAGTTACTGGAAAGACTAAGATTTAAGGTAAGTTGGAAAAATAATTAGTCAGAAAGAGTTCTTCAATAATTTAATAGACAAAATTTGTTAAGTGTGTGTGTGTGTGTGTGTGTGTAGGTTGAAACCCACGGTCTAGCCACCATAGAATTACTGCCCCGTAGCTCTAGCCCACTCAGCCACAAAATGTCATAAGGTTTCACCAACCAGAATCCTGGGAATATCTGTGAACTGTCAATAATTGGGACCCTATGGCTCTGGTGGCTAAAGCTCTCGCTTCACACGGCGAGGGTCTGGGTTCGATTCCCAGCTAGGGTAGAAACATTGGGAGTGTTTCTTTACACCAGTTGTCTATGTTCACCCATCAGTAAATGGGTACCTGGATGTTAGTCGACTGGTGTGGGTCGCATCCTGGAACACAGACCTAATTTACCCAAAATGTTCAGCATAACAAGGGGCTTTCCATATAGTAGTATGTCACTGATGTCAACTAGGCCTGTTTATCTTATACAAGTACTTGTAGTAAATAGAGATATTATTAAATTATCAAATTTAATGTTGTGAAGAAATCCCGACCTCTCAAGCAGGAAGTGGCTAATTCTAACCCCTGTCTCCTATCTTCGTAGCGAACATCGAAATCGAGAAACATGGCTACAACATTTGGAGAAGAAGACATAAGATTATCTGCTTGAAGAATAAGATACGCAAAGAACTATAAACTACTTCGAGGACATAACGGAAGACATAAAAAGCTAATCTAGTGAACTAATGAAGAGACAATGATCTTAAACTCTTAAGATGAGAGCGTCAGCTCAGGAGAGACGGATACCTGGAGACTTGATGCAAGGCGAAAGAGAAAATATATTTTATTTGGAAATACAGAAAGGGGTCAGTAGACACCTGAGTTGTAGTGAGGAAACTAATATGAGGATATTAAAAAAAACTTGTATTCCACAATTCAATAATCAATAAGTAGCTTTCGTTCAGAAGGTGTAATTATAGCATAATGATTTACTTGAGAGAAAATACCCGTCGGTGCCCAATCTGACAACATTGGTCACAGTGACAACTGGTCATATGGCCAACAATGGTCACACTGCCAACAATGGCCTGTCTCAACAACGACTGAACTATCAACACGGAAGGAGTACTGGAGACATGCGTGGTATATTTCGTTTGCGAGAGTACCATAACCTTCTGATGATGATGTACATTACAACATTCGTAAAGCAAGAATACCAGGTAGCAGCAAACCTATGGCACTTATGAGCACCCTCCTGGTGACTAAAACCTCGACTTACCTGATCATAACAAAAGTGGTGTGATGACTGGCTTGCTCATTATATAGCATCTTGCCTGAAGAGAGCAGCTGTAATATGCTGACTTGCTTGTGCATAAAACCTGTACTGTGATGACTTATGCAGTACAAGTGTCGTGTGATGATATTATCTGTAGAGTACTACTGTTTGACGATAAGTTATCAAAAGGAAACAGCCACTGCGTATTCATCTGATCCCGCGGTACAAACATAGGGAAAGGATCTACCTACCTACTTATCTGCCAAGTATAATAGAGGTATGAAGGGACCTAACTGACCAGAACAACAGAGATGGGGGACCCTCCATACCCAGTATTCCAAAGGTATGAAGACCTACCAGGCCAAAACAATATAGAAAGTAGGACCAATTTTCCCAGTATATCAGTAGAAATGAAAGGACCTACCTACCCAGCGCACCAAAGATATAAGGACCTACCTGACTAGAAACGTAGAGATGGGAAGACCTATCAGACCAGTACAGCAGAGATGTGAGGGCCTATCTGCCCAGTAAAGTCCTATCTGCATTAAACCCCCCAGAGTTGTCAGGGCTTTACTGCTCAGTAAAGCAGAGGTTTAAAGACCTACCTAACCCACAGAACAGAGACTGGAGGACCTACCTTCCCAGAAAAGCAGAGATGGGAGGACCTATTTCCAGTATAGTAGTAATGGGGGTACCTACCTGTCCTGTATAGAAGAGAGGAGAGAAGCTACATGACTGTCATGACTCACGAAATAGTAACAACGCATAGGGGTCTATGCTGACGTTACTGTGGTGCATAGAAACATACCAAGTTTGATGAATTTTGCTAGGCTGGCATGGAACAGTAGGTAATAAACTGACCTTCTGATTTTAAGGCTCGCTTTGCCATGGGTTCATGCCCCATCCATTCTGTGATCTACCTGGCCAGTATTACCGAACCTACACCTTATCAGTATAGGAAAGAAGTGAGATCTACTTGATCAGTATTGGAGATATGTGAATAACTACCTGACCAGTATACCAGAGATGGGAGGATCTACCTGACCAAAATTGCAGAGATAGAAGGATCTACCTGACCAAAATTGCAGAGTTGGAAGGATCTACCTGACCAGTTTAGCATTGATGACAGGATCTACCTGGCCAGTATACCAGATATATTAGGGCCTGCCTGACCATTATAGCAGTGATGACAGGACCTACCTGACCAGTATTAATATACTTTAGGACCTACCTGACCAATATAGCAGCGATTGTAGCACCTACCTGCCCAGTATAGCAGCGATGGTAGCACTTACCTGTCCAGTATAGCAGTGATGTAGTACCTACCTGCCCAGTATAGAAGTGATGGTAGCACCTACCTGTCAAGTATAACAGTGATGGTAGCACCTACCTGCCCAGTATACCAGTGATGGTAGCACCTACCTGCCCAGTATAGCAGTGATGGTAGCACCTACTTGCCCAGTAAAGCAGTGATGGTAGCACCTACCTGCCCAGTATAGCGGTGATGGTAGCACCTACCTGTCCAGTATAGCAGTGATGGTAGCACCTACCTGCCCAGTATAGCAGTGATGGTTGCACCTACCTGCCGAGACCCAGGAGTCTGGCGGCCAAGAGGTCGTCGTCATCAATACAATTGATGGCTGTGTCTCGCAGCGCTGCACCGAACAGTGACTGGCGGAAGGGAGGTGAACGGGGCTAGATTAACATGGATTAGGGGGCTAGAATAGCAGGAATTAGGGAACTAAATTAACATGGGAGGGGGACTAGAATAACACGGATTGGGGCTAGATTAACATGAATTTGGGGGACTTGAATAATATGGGTTAAAGGGCTAGAATGACAGGGATAGAGGGCTAAAATAACATGAATCGGGGAAAAAATTAACATGGATTAAGGGCTACAATAACAGAGATAAATTAGCTAGATAAAGTTGGACTAGGGGCTAGAAAAACATGGGATTATGGGCTAGAATATCTATTATCATAGCGCTAAAACTCTTGGAACTTGTAGCTAGATTAACATACATTGCATGTTAAACATGGATTACGGGTTTAGACTAACCGAGATTAGACGCTAAAGCAACAGGGATTAGAGGGCTAGAAAAGTAGGGATTAGGGGGCTAGAATAACATGGATTAGAGTCTAGAATAACATGGATTAGGGGCTAGAATAACATGGATTAGGGGGCTAGAATAACAGGGATTAGGGGCTCTCATAACCAGGATAAAAGAGTTAAGTTAATCAGGATGTTGGAACTAGAATAATATATATTAGAGGGAATGATTTACATGGATTAGACGGCTAGAATAACATGGATTAGAGGCTAGAACAACAGAGATTGGATGGATAGAATATTAGGGATTAGCGGCCAAAGAGCTAAGTAATATGAATTTAGGGGCAGGATAAAAATTCATTAGAGGCCTGAAAAACATGGATTAAGGAGCTAGAATAACACGGATTAGGGGCCTAGATTTTCTTGGATAAGCGGGCTAAGTTAACTTATAAGTTAAGGGGCTAGGCTAACACTAGGAAGAAAGTCAGAATCGCACAAGGTATGAGGCTACATTAACATAGGTGAAATGGGCTACATTAACATGGGTGAAAGGGGCTACATTAACATGGGTGAAAGGGGTTACATTAACATGGGTGAAAGAGGCTACATTAACATGGGTGAAAGAGGCTACATTAACATGGGTGAAAGAGGCTACATTAACGTGGGTGAATGGGGCTACATTAACATGGGTTAGGAGTTCAATTAACACGAACTAGGGACTAGATTAAAAATGAGCTAATGAAATAGATTAGCATAAGGTAATAGGCTGGAATAACGTGGGTCATGGGGCTAGATTAACATGGGTGTAAGTGGGCTAGACTAAAATGAGCCTTGAGGATAGATTAACAGAGAGAACTTTAGATAGTCTAAGAGGTAAAATTAACATGGGTTAGGGGACTATATCACTATTAAGGTGACAAAATGGGATAGAACAAATTAACATGGTGTAGGAGAACAGATTAACATGGAGTAGGAGAACAGCGACATGGGGCAGGAGAACAAATATGGAGTAGGAGAACCGATTAACATGAAATAGGAGAACAGTGACATTGGGTATGAGAACAGATTAACATCGGGTACGAGAACAGTGGCATGGGGTGGGAGAACATATTAACATAGGGTAGAAGAACAGGTTAACATAAGGTAAAAGAACAGATTAAAATAGGGTAGAAGAACATGTTAACATAGGGTAGAAGAACAGGTTAAAATAGGGTAGAAGAACATGTTAACATAGGGTAAAAGAACAGGTTAAAATAGGGAAGAACATGTTAACATAGGGTAGAAGAACAGGTTAACATAGGGTAAAAGAACAGGTTAAAATAGGGTAGAAGAACATGTTAACATAGAGTAGAAGAACAGGTTAACATAGGGTAAAAGAACAGGTTAAAATAGGGTAGAAGAACAGGTTAACATAGGGTAGAACATGTTAACATAGGGTAGAAGAACAGGTTAACATAGGGTAGAAGAACAGGTTAACATAGGGTAGAAGAACATGTTAATATAGGGTAGAAGAACATGTTAACATAGGGTAGAAGAACATGTTAACATAGGGTAGAAGAACAGGTTAACATAGGGTAGAAGAACAGGTTAACATAGGGTAGAAGAACAGGTTAACATAGGGTAGAAGAACATGTTAACATAGGGTAGAAGAACAGGTTAACATAGGGTAGAAGAACAAGTTAACATAGGGTAGAAGAACATGTTAACATAGGGTAGAAGAACATGTTAACATAGGGTAGAAGAACATGTTAACATAGGGTAGAAGAACAGGTTAACATAGGGTAGAAGAGCATTTTAACATAGGGTAGAAGAACATGTTAACATAGGGTAGAAGAACAGGTTAACATAGGGTAGAAGAACATGTTAACATTGAGCAGAAGAACATGTTAACATAGGGTAGAAGAACAGGTTAACATAGGGTAAAAGAACAGGTTAAAATAGGGTAGAAGAACATGTTAACATAGAGTAGAAGAACAGGTTAACATAGGGTAAAAGAACAGGTTAAAATAGGGTAGAAGAACAGGTTAACATAGGGTAGAACATGTTAACATAGGGTAGAAGAACGTGTTAACATAGGGTAGAAGAACATCTTAACGTAGGGTAGAAGAACAGGTTAACATAGCGTAGAAGAACAGGTTAACATAGGGTAGAAGAGCATGTTAACATAGGGTAGAAGAACAGGTTAACATAGGGTAGAAGAACAGGTTAACATAGGGTAGAAGAACAGGTTAACATACGGTAGAAGAACATGTTAACATAGGGTAGAAGAACAGGTTAACATAGGGTAGAAGAACAGGTTAACATAGGGTAGAAGAACATGTTAATATAGGGTAGAAGAACATGTTAACATAGGGTAGAAGAACATGTTAACATAGGGTAGAAGAACAGGTTAACATAGGGTAGAAGAACATGTTAACATTGAGCAGAAGAACATGTTAACATAGGGTAGAAGAACATGTTAACATAGGGTAGAAAACATGTTAACATAGGGTAGAAAAACATGTTAACATAGGGTAGAAGGACATGTTAACATAGGGTAGAAGAACGTGTTAACATAGGGTAGAAGAACATGTTAACATAGGGTAGAAGAACATGTTAACATAGGGTAGAAGAACATGTTAACATAGGGTAGAAGAACATGTTAACATAGGGTAGAAGAACATGTTAACATAGGGTAGAATAACATGTTAACATAGGGTAGAAGAACAGGTTAACGAAGAATTCTTACACTAAATACTTTGGAGGTTATTACTTAGACCCAAATATCGTACTGCCGACCAAAAAAAAAAAAATCGACATGTTGCCGAACAAGCTTTTTTCTGGGTTGCAACGTTTCACTCTGTGTAGAGCTTCATCAAGCTGTGACTTGATAAAACTCTACACAGAGCGCTAAGCTGCCCCAGTCAAAGCTCGTTCAGCAACTGTGGCAGAGGCCTGACTCTCAGACACTATGATCCCGAAGACTTTTATTATTATTACTGGACAGACGCAGGCAAATCACCATTTGGCTTGAGAGACTTTAATAAACGTCTGATGACTGGGTAAACAGTGAATATCAACTAGACTTAGACGATGATCACAATGACGCCTTGAAAGAGGTCAAATGAACGGCGGGGCAGGATGTACAGACACCTAGAAACGTGTTGAACATAAGACTGAGAAATCCAGACCGAGTTCAGAGATACAACATTTAAGCTTAAGAAAACTAGAATGACAAAAGAATGCTTAACTAAATTAAAAAAAAAAGTAGTGAAAAAAGATAAACAAGGGAATGAGAATTAGATTACTAGAGTATGACGAGTTAAATTAACGAGATGTCGAACGCTACATCAACAACGTAATCGTAACTAAATTAACAAGGGATAGAAAACTAGATTAACAAGCAATATAAAACAGGTTTAACAAATAACGGGGAGCTAGATTAATAATGGATTATGTGTTAGATTAATAAGGCATTCGTAACCAGATTACCACTGAGGAGCAAACTTTATTAACGAGGGAAAAATAAAGATCGATTATCAAGGGATAAGTACTTAGACTGCCAAATGCAAATCATGTTATTCAGAGTGAAAGGAGGACTTTAAAGGTAGGTTGAAGAACAGAATAAATTTAATTAGGTAACACACGAATAAATCCAGTGAATATGATGTTGAAGGAGTAAGAACCCAGTTTAGCCTAGAAGAGTGAACGTATTAGCAAAGTGAAACTAGCTAGATTCACGAAGATGGATAGTAAGACCGAAATCACTGGATAGATGGAACCGCATAAATTGAGGATAGAAGAAAAGAATGACAAGAGAACTAAGGCCATCTGCTAAAAAAATGATAGGATTTATAATGAGAACCAAAATTAGGGACGCCAAGCCCATAATGCTTCTCTTCAAACTGCTTGCTCTCTCTAGACTGGAATACTGTTGAACACTAACTGCCCCCTTCAAGGCAGGCGAAATTGCTGACCTGGAGAGTGTACAAAGAACTTTCACGGTACACGTAAGTACAATAAAGCACCTAAATAACTGGGAACTGATTTAGAAACATAAGAAAATAAGAAATAAGGAACATTGCAACAGGCCTATTGGCCCATGCGAGGCAGGTCCAAGTCGCCTACCGGCTTATGCCACTGACTCAACCTAGTCAGGTCAAACTCACACCCACTCGTGTATTTATCTAACCTATTTTTAAAACTACACAACGTTTTAGCTTCTATGATGGCACTCGGGAGTTTGTTTCACTCATCCACAATTTTATTGCTTGGTAATAGAGTTGTATTTGTATTCCCTGGAACGCAGGCGAGAGAGAGACATGATAATATACACTTGGAAAATCCTAGAGGGATTAGTACAAAACTTGCACTCCAAAATCTCTCCCTATGAAAGCAAAAGACTCGGCAGGAGATGTAACATTCCCCCAATAAAAAGCAGGGGCGCTACGAGTGCACTTAGAGACAACACAATAAATGTCAGGGGCCCAAGATAATTCAACTGCCTCCCAGCATACATAAGGGGGATTACCAATAGACCCCTGGCTGTCTTCAAGAAGGCACTGGACAAGCACTTGAAGTCAGTACCTAACCAGCCGGGTTGTGGTTCGTATGTCAATTTGCGTGCGGCTAGCATCAAC